GTAGTTGCTTTAATTTAAAAAAAAAAAAAAAAAAAAAAAGTGCTTCTTAAAGCTTGGGAATATTGGGGGCTGGGGATGTGGCTCAAGCGGTAGCGCGCTCGCCTAGCATGCGTGCGGCCCGGGTTCGATCCTCAGCAGCACCACATACCAACAAAGATGTTGTGTCCGCCAAGAACTAAGAAAAAATAAATAAATGTTAAAATTCTCTCTCTCTCTCTGTCCCCCTCTCTCTCTCACTCTCTCTTTAAAAAAAAAAAAAAAAAAGCTTGGGAATATTAAGTCAGCCACAAATCCTTAGGACTTTTAGTCCTAATGTTTATTTCATCCCACATTAAGTTTCAAATCAGGTTTTAGAACTGATAAAAGGGGAGGGGCAAATTGAGTGAGCCTGAAACTACCTGCAAAAACACAAGGCTTGCCAGCTGGCATGGAGGCACATGCCTGTAGGCTGAGGCAGGACGATCCCAATCCCAAGGCCAGCCTGAGCAATCAGAAAGACCTTTGTCAAAAAAGAAAATTATTAAAATTTTTTTTTAAAAAGCACATAAGCTTATTCCATTCTCCTAGGCAAGATTTAAAACTTCAAAGTAAAAACAGCAATCATGTATAATTTTATATGTCTAACTCTACATTATTTTGTAGAAAAACATAATACAAAAAAAGAGACTATCAGGTTAGAAAATTCTAAAATGCTAGACAGCCTTGAGGTTATGTTGGATCTTAAAATCACCAGACCTACTTCCGAATGTGTAAACGGGTCCCATATGAGGAACAATGGAGAAGCAAGCACAAATAGAAAGAAATCTGAAAATCATTCAAGCTTAGATGGGATAAATCATGACAGGCCTTTGGTAAAACTCATTTAGATTCTTGCACTAAATGATGATTTGGGGACAGATCTTACTAGAGGGCTCTCCCTGAAGCTTGTAACCTATGGGAAATGGCCAAAGGCATGTTATTTCTATTTGCTATTTCTCCTGTCAAAGCTTCTTCCTACAGAGTTAAAACCTTTAATTAAAATACAAAAATTATACACTTATGGTTTCACCATTAAAACTTTTCCAAAAATTCCACATGTAAGACATGCAAAAGATGCTAAGAAACATTGTGCTTTTCTTTGAATCAAAAATGTCCTCTAGGTTTGGTGGCACACATCTGTAATCCCAGCTACTTGGGAGGTTGAGGCATGAGTATCCCAAGTTCAAGGCCAACCTTGGTAACTTAGAAAGACCCTGCCTTGAAATTTAAAAAAAATAATAAAATAAAAAGGGTTGGGGGTATATCTCAGTGATAAAGCACCCCTGGGTTCAATCCCCAGTATGGGAGTGTGGGGGAGGATGTCCTTCATCTGACAAAAATTAGCCTCTAACGATAATATCTGCTAAAAAGTGTTCATTCTCCCACTCTTTCTTGTTCCAGCCTCCTCTTGGCTTTTATACATTTAAACTTTATGAACCAAACAAATTTTCACCTCCGTGAGCCAATGAAAAGTCATCATCTGCAGATCCAGGAGGCAGAGTCTAAGGAAGACACTGGCCTCAATTTCTGGCCTTCCCATAACACTGTTATCTTCATATATTTTGGTAAAGGTCAAAGGGGGGCTCGAGCCATAGACCCTATTTATATGTAGTCCGCCTACTTGTATGTGTGACCTTAAACTTAATTTTAATACTCTATATTTCAATTTGTGAATCATCCATAGGGTTAAGTTTTAAAATAGCATGTCTACCTACCAGAAACTAGTAAGAGTCATAAAGCCAGCTTTTAAGAGTTACCCTGAGGGCTGGGGATGTGGCTCAAGCGGTAGCGTGCTCGCCTGGCATGTGTGAGGCCCGGGTTCGATCCTCAGCACCACATACAAACAATGATGTTGTGTCTGCCAAAAACTAAAAAATAAATATTAAAAATTCTCTCTCGGGCTGAGGATGTGGCTCAAGTGGTAGTGCGCTCGCCTGGCATGCGTGAGGCCCGGGTTCAATCCTCAGCACCACATACAAAAAAAGATGTTGTGTCCGCCAAGAAATAAAAAATAAATATTAAAAAAAAATAAAAAGAGTTACCCTGAAGGACTGAATCTCACCTATCAAAAATTTCCCACGTCATTCTTATACCAGAACTAAAAGATGATCTAAAGACATCAGTAGTCCATGGGACAAATTACTCTTCCTCCTCTGCTCATACCTGTGCCCAGCCAACCAACCTTATCAACAGTTCCTGCAAACTGCACAAAAACATTTAAACTAAGCCAGATAAAGTAAAGGAAGAATATTCCCCCCCACACTTTCAGTGCTGGAAATCAAACCCAGGATTGGGCATGCTAGGCAAGCTCTCTAACAGTGAGCTACATCCCCCACCCGTTCAGAGAAATTTTTTAAAAGTCAGTCAAGGTAAAAATTTCCAAACTGCTAAAATAGATACTTTACAATTCTAAATCTATTTCTTGAGTCCATTTACAAAATTTTAGGCTTTGGTGGTCAGCCTGATTTGCTTTTGATTGGTCACTGCACTAAGAACTGCCTCTTCCAACCTCAGAAACGTGCCCAAGAAGGCATCTCCACTACACATTCGGCACCAAGGAGCCTCCAATGCAAAAGACATGAGGCCTATTTAAATTTTATGAAAATAAAACAAAGATTTAAAGTTCTAGATTAAGAAACCTAGAAATTTGACTCTAAAGCTAGACCTGCTCACTTAGATAACCAAATTCATGAAGCTTCTTGACTACAGCCCAACTCCAAGGAGTAAGGTAACAATACTTTGCAAATCAGAGTAAGCCAAAGAGGAAGCAGAGGAATCCTCATAAGTTAAAGCTACATAACAATTCTGCTGAAGTCATCTAGGTTAATGGTTCTAACTACAGTCAAGTTCAGTGTACAAGTACGGAATTAGCCCTTGGGCTTGCACACTCAAGTTACACTTTCATACTTTCAAAAACTGAGTAAAAAGCAGCAAATGTCATAAAGATACAGAAAGTGAACATGAACTCATCCAATTTTGAAATTTTATTAATTAAATGAGTGAATTCAAAGTATAACATAACATATTACTGACAGCAAGAGTGCTAGGTCAGAAAAATGGTGATTCATGGACACTGACCACAGGCTAAAGTTCATCATGGTTCAAAGCAATTACTTCTACTCTCTGCTGGTGACAGTCAGATTTGGGTCAACCACATGACAGCAAGCTAATCTGACCAGGCTGATCAGGTTTATGGCCTGGGTTTCATTTGAAAAGGAGCTCCTCATACATCTTATAGAATAATCCTTAAAGAAAAATTTTAGTAGAAAATTGCCTTGGTTAAAGCAAAAGAAAACTTCCTTTTTACGACTATATTACATCCTAGAAAGTAATAATCCTTGAGGAAAATATGATTGTTTTTTGAAACCAATAAACCTGAATCACTAAATCTTCATTTAAAAGAAAATGGTAAAATGTGTGTTTAGACCTCAATTCCACTTAGGGAAAAAAAGGATGAAAAATCATAGTTTGAAGACAGAAAAGAGCTGGACTTGTCAATACCACTAAGCTGAAAAAGAAACATTAAAAGAACTTGTTACTCATTTTAGAAAATACCCAAAGCTTATCTTAAGGAACCCCCTTCTTGAATTTACAAGATACAAAAACCCTGTTCTAAACTTTTTCTAATCTACAATTTCAGTCTGAATCTCAAGTATCCAGACCATAAATAAATACCTCTTGTCCGTACAGAACTTTCTAATACTGCTGCTGCTTTTCTTGTCCATCAGCTCAGATCCCAACAAGCACCCTCTGAAGAATGTACTTCAGCCAACATCATCATCCTTATTTTGCAGATAAGAACAAGAGAGTTCAATTAACTTAAAACTCACAAGGGTAAAAGACTCAAATCTGATGTTTCCTCTGCCAGAATTAAAACTTGAAGTTGCACACATTTACGTAAGTCCCAAGAACAAGCCGGTCTACTAGCTCAATCTTCAAACTCCCCAGAAGACTCTGAAATCCATCAGACAGAGACCATCAGCCTAAGGAATGGATCTTGAATCCAAATCTAAGCAGAGAACCCATTTGTTGCTCTGTCCTCCATGCAACACAGAACTTGCCAAGCAACCAAGCAGCTCACTTGAGTTTACCACATGAATATTTTAACCTATTATTAGGCACACCAAGACTTCATGTGCCTTAACCTAAAGAGCCAAATCAATAGGCTTAGGTCATAGGTACAACCAACATTGGCTTCACTCCTTACCAAGTAACTTAGTTGATAGCACCCAAGAGTATCTTCACAAACTCCATGCATTCCTGGCGGTATCTTCTCATAGATTATGAACACCAAGGGTTTCATATTCCTTCTGAAGGTGTGTAGCATTTCAAGGAAGGTATCATATCATTAATTTCCTCAGAAAGTAAGGTGGTACAACCCTAATCAAGATGGATTTTTCAGAGCACCCAGAATTATGGGAGGTAAAGATTACATAAGTAACTACCTTCCAACCATTTAATTTTATTTAGCACTGAAAATGGCAATAAGTTGCCTTTTGAACTCATTTCTAAGGGTACAGAATTTTTTAAGGGAGGGAAAAAAATGATGACAACTTGATTATTTTATAGACTGAGATTGTGTTAAATTGTCTTTAAAACATAATTTCAGGGAAAAATATATATATATACATATCTATATCTCATCCCTGTGGTCATCCACCAAGTTTTATCCTGATAAATTTCTCAGGAGGAAATGGCCTAAAGAAGGCTTCAAAGCAATTAGGCTAAGCTTGGGCTTCTGGGAGGAAAAATCTCTCACAATAATGGGAATTTAAGAAAGTAGGACACTAAGAAATATACTGTGAATGAAGAAAAAGGAAGTAGGCTTAGAAATTAGCACATTTAGTGTGTGTGTGGGGGGGGGAGAGTGGGGAATTTGAAAATACCAGTCCTAATTTAAGAAAGAAGTACAGGTACCTTATCTTATCTATAGAACCTAAAAGTTTATACCCAGGGCAAGACAAATTTCAGAAGACATGACACTCTTGAAATACAGAATTTTATTTAGAAACTGTTTAAAAGTAGAAAAAAACCCTGTCAAGAAAGACCAGGTGGAAAATGGGTTCCCGACAAAATGGAATTTTAGGGCAACAAAAGTCTAAAAGGCCACAAAAGAGAAATAGCACCACTGTCATTTGAACAATGGCTAGTTACTTGCATTTTTTGGCATTGTTAATCAATGAGTCTGGGTTTTCCTCTGAATTCCACACAGAGCATGCACTACACAGCAATTTTATCATAAAATACCTGTTTTCTACACACATTTTAGGACAAGCTACCACCATAAACAAACCAATACAAACACATCAGGGGCTGAACAGTCTCAGTAGTGGGTAACATACATTTTGCAGAATTCTGCCAAACAAGGGATTGAATAGGCCATGGGCAAAGCAAATAAAGAAGAGTTAAGGAATGAAATATTTTAAATATTAATTAATTAATTAATTCAGACATGGTACTGTATTTTCTGCAAAAGAAATTAACATTTAGTAACATACTAGTGAATTTTATCTCCAAAGAGATTAGTGCACTGGCAAAGTATTCGGGTAACAGTGGAGAGCCATGGACAGCAGATACCGAAAACACCCCAGCCTTGTAGATCCCAAGTTAATGATGGCCTTCACTGATCACTCCCTTTGCTAGAGATCCAGCAAGAGCTTGCAGCATGATCATCTGCCTGCTGTACTTCCAATGCTAAGCAGCAAACTTAAGGAGTCAAAGAGGAGTCCCCAGGGGGCAGGGGGACAGAGAAGAAAAACATGTTAAATGTAAACTTAAGTAAAACAGGACACAACCCCCATCCAAATCCCAAGGATGTGGGTAATTCTCCAATAGTAGTTATTAGATTAAAAACTGGACACACCTCATTTTCCTCAACACATAGAAATTTCAGGAATAAATGGAAAAATCATCAGAAATTTCAGGAATAAATGGAAAAATCATCAGAGAAACACTCAATGAAACACTCTTCACCTCAAACATTTCAGGGCTGAATTACCTTCTATTCATCCAGGCAACCAAGCTGTTTGCTTTTAGCAGGGATGCAACTGGTCAATGACACAAAATGGTTTTACAGAGCAATTGCTTAAACTTTCCTTTTGGGACAAAGCCTAGGCCTGCAGGGATTCAAGCAACCCCACAAGGCCTGTGACAGCAGGTTCCAAATGTTCTGAGGTCTGGACCTTCCTTGCAGATACAATGTCAGACACATAAAATCTCTTGTCATGTTACATTTTATATTTTGAAATATGGAAGCATATTTTAAATACTCTTAAGGCATTTATTTATTAAAACGTTCTCTGCCAAGACTTCACATTAGGTTAAAACTCAATTCAGTCTTTACTGAAGTCACCACCTCAGTGTATTACATAAAAACACATTCTCCAGCAATCAGTGTGACCAGCATTCCACATCATGAGCCCCATAGTCAGCCTCTTTGATCCCCAGGTGAACAAACTAGATGTTAATACTGCTCTGCTACAAGGTAAAAGCTCCTAACTCAAACTTATTGGAAAAGGAGTGAAACTTCTGCAAAGTGCACTTTTAAAAAGAGGTACTTTTTGCTTATGAAAAGAAACCAGTGAATCCTCTAAGAATAATAAAAGGGAGTATTTTACAGTTAAGCACATGATTTGGAGTGAAGAATTCGGATGTTGCTTTGCTGGTCCAGGCTGTTAATACTCTTCTTGTTCCTCCTGTGGGCCCCCTTCATCAGGTATCACAAAGCCTTCCTGAAATGGGAAAAAGAGAGGGGAAAACTATTACTCAACAATGAATGATCACTTTCTACTGTAGGTCACTTTCTTCATATTTAAAGCCTTTTCAAGTAAGATGTTCTTCCTATTTCTACCACACACTTGACAATCACACAGGCCAAGTCATCTCTATTTTATTTCTTGAACAGTAGAACTGTATTTTACAAAAAGTCAAAACTAAGTACAATTAAATTAATGACGTTGGAAAATCAAGTGTGGAAAAAACAAAAAAACAGACTCATGGCTTCCATTTCATACCCACTGCCGAGCATTCCCCATATACTTATAACAGAGAATGGATACACTACTGCACCATGATAATTAACTTCTCAGTTGGCATGAAGGTGCACACCTGTAATCCTAGCTTCTTGGGAGCCTAAGGCAGGAGGACCTTAAAATCAAGGCCAGCCTGGACAACTCAGCTAAGATCTAGTCCAAAAAAAAATTTTCAAGAAGGGCTGGGGATGTAGCTCAATATTAGAGCACCAACTGAGCATGTTTGAGGTCCTGAGTTCAATCCCCAGTATCTTCAACCATCTTTTTTTTTTCTTACACTAAATCTCTAGAGCTGAATTAAGATGCACATCCACTAAAATTATAAGCTAGACCAAAGGACCTATACCTTCATCATCTTTATTTTCATTATTCAGTACACAACAAGTCCTAAAGATTTACTGAACAAATTATCAACTTTTTTATCATCTGGCTTAATCCCTCACAATTCACAAGACAAGTTTAGAAGACGGTCATAATAATAGCATTATTATTAACTTATATTTGTATAATGTTATACATACTACAGATAGTTAAGTAGTATGGTCCTACAGACCTTGCTAGGCATGCAGAAATATAAATACACCTATTAAACATATTTAAAGCCTTTCCAAGTAAGATGTTCTTCCTATCTTACTTGGAATATCCTAGATATCAATAGATAGATAGTTATCAAATCCTAAATCTACAGAAAATCAGACTTCTCCAATCAGCATCATAACTAAAACAGCAGGTTTGGCTGAGTAATAAACAAGGATGCAAATAAACTTGATAACAAAGTACTTTCAGGAAATGGGTACCAGGGCAAGTTCCTTGGAGGGAAGGAAAAAAAGCACATTTTAGACAACTGGGGGCGCAGACAGTGAAAAAGAACCAATGGTATGCCTGGGGTCCTGAGGGGTCTACCTGAGGGGTCCAAGCTACACAGAGTGGGACGGAGGTGAAGGGTGCTTCTGGATGATGTATTTTGTGGCTTATCAGTGACTACAATCTATAGGAGGCAGGTAAAACAGCCACTTCCTTGTCCTATTGCTTCCTCTAAGGCTCACTGTACTTTAAGGAATCAAAGATGAAGTCTTTTTATGAAAGCTACACTGGAACACAATAGGAATTAGCACAAAGTTTGCTGAAACCAACTAATCTTATTTCCCCTTAGGAGGCAAAATGGAAAGAAAATGTGTCAACACATACGTCTGTGGCATAGAGAATGTCTACAATCCTCTGTAATACAGGGTCGTTCTCCCCCTCGTTCTCCTGGCAAATCAATTCAATGTTCCTTAGCTTTCCAAAGTAGAAATCTCTCTCCTTCTCCAAGTCTTCAACAGTAAGTTTCAACACGTTGACCTATGCAAGGTATTGAAAAGGGAGAGAAATCTAGCGTTAGTGCAACAATAAAATATCACTCAAACTTTTAACCCCAAAGATGTAATGGTATTCAATCAAAGTCAAACAGACAGAAAGCCAGTTCATTTTAATATCAATTTTGTTCAGTTCCACATAAGTATTACATACTTGTTCAAGGAAACCTTGAACATAAAAGCAGGGCAGACTATAAGATTATACTTTGAAACTTACAGGAACTTCTCAAGGAGAAGTATCAAGAAGAAAACACTAAGGAAGTGAAGTGTGAGGCAACCCAGGCTGGCAAGGTGGCTAATAATCACAAACTGAGTCCTTACCAGAGAAATGGTCAATTATGTCCAAGTCTGGCTACATGTGGAGGTCAATGGCAAGGGATGACTGATCCCCCTCCAGCCTCACTGAGGGGCTGATTCCCACAGAGGTTATTAAAAAATAAATCTCAACATTTAGGTCAGGACTCTACCTAGCCAAGAGCAATAAAAGACAATAACTCCCACAGTCCTTTGTGTACTTTAGACATGGTGCATCTTCATTTCAGTGTATTCAAATCTATGATGAGTGAATTTTTTTTGGTGGGGGGGTATGGGGGGACCCAGGGGTACTTAACCATAGAGCTACATCCCCAGCCCATTTTTATATTTTAATTAGAGACAGGGTCTCAATGAATTGCTTAGGGCCACACTGCTTTGAACTTGCAATCCTCCTGCCCCATCCTCTCACCAAACAGCTAGGTATACAAGCGTGCGCCACAGCAACCAGCTGATAGACAAATTAATTTAATTCTCACTGAATGAAAATTACATGGCATACCATACAGCATAAAGCCTTCATAAAACCCTCAATCTAAAGGTTACAGCCACAAAGCAACATGGAAAGCCAAACCAGGAAATTAAAGGTGCAGGATTGAGAACAATCTGAGCGGCTGCAAATTCTGAAAGTACCAGAAGGCACCAGAAATGATTGAGTCCGACCTTCTCAATATATAGATACAAAAGCAGAAGCACACTGCTGATCTAGCATCCCCATAGTTAGACACCATTGAGGGCATCAGTCCCCATCCAAGTGGAAGGAAGCTCCCCTTCATAACCTGCGGTAAAGTAGCATTCAAAGAGTTGGGGGTATGGCTCAGTAGGACAGTGTTGCAGACCAACCATGGGCTGTGTGAGCTGTGAGCATTCTGAACGTGAGCTGTGAGCATTCTGAACGTGAGCTGTGAGCATTCTGAACGTGAGCTGTGAGCTGTGAGCATTCTGAACGAACAAGCGGAATGTTGCTGCTCTGTCTGGGCTGTTGTGCACGTATGGGTCCTTTTTGCTTGCTCTGCCTTTAATTCCACACAGCACCTAAGATGGGTGTGACCTGCCAAGATGTCAACCTACTGACCACCAAACATCACAAAGCTAGACTTTACCCCCTGAAATTTGATCCCTTGCCTCATTTGGGTGGAACTTTCTCAAGTGCCTTCCCCTCGATAAATAAGATGATTTCAGGCATGCGCCCTCTTTTTTGTCTGCCTCTCTTGCTTCTTTTGTGGGAGCTGGGGCTGAGGAGCTGTCACTGGACCCTAAGAAAAAGGTACTTTCTGTGTGTGATTATTTAGTGCCAACCCAAATTCACCTGGAGTGACCCTGAATGATTCAGTCGCATGTCACACGCAGCAGGACAGCAGCACCTGTCTAGCACGTGCAAGGCCCTGAGTTTGATACCCAGAACCATAAAAAAAGAAGAAAAAGAAATGGTGTGGGGGGAGCATTCAGAGACGAGGAGCAGGCTACTAGGAACACAAAGCCCTAACTTCAAAATTCACCATCAAAGTCTTGAACAGACAAACCAAAATCAAGATTCTAAAGAACCTAACACCATTCCTCTATCAATCACAGAAATCACTTTCAAAAATAATTTAAGCCAAGTGCAATGGCACATGTCTGTAATCTCAGTGACTCAGGAGGCTAAGGTAAAACGATCTCAAGTTTGAGGTCAACTTGGGCGACTTAGCAAGACCCTGTCTTTAAAAAAAAAAAAAAAAAAAGATATAGCTCAGGGGAAGAGGACTCCTAAATTCAATCCCAGTACCACTACACAAAAATAATAAAAATTTTAGATGCCAATAAAATACTACCATTGCCTGGTGGCAAGCAAAGCTAAATCACCCACTTCCATCTAATCTATCCCACTTCCACCTTTGCAGCAGCCTGCAAAAACCAACAGCCATCCCAAGGTTTGGGGTTGTGGCTCAGTGGTAGCATGCTCACCTAGTATGCATGAGGCACTGGGTTCGATCCTCAACACCATATAAATATAAAATAAAGATATTCTGTCAACCTAAAAATACTAAAAAATAAATTTAAAAAAACAACAACTAACAGCCCCAAAGTGGGACACAAGAAAGAGATAAGGACAAAAGTTGAGTAACCCCAGCAACAGAAAGTTGCCTGAGCTTCAATTCCACAATCTAAGAGAAGGTAATCTTAGTGACCTAGAAGAAAAGTCAAAATAGTCTAAAAAGGCAATATTGGGCTGGGGTTGTGGCTCAGTGATACAGCACTTGCCTTGCATACACAAGGCCCTGGGTTCGATCCTCAGCACCATATAAAAATAAGTAAATAAAAATAAAGATATTGTGTCCATCTATAACTAAAAAAAAAATTTTAAAAAAAGGCAATATTAGCATAAAATCCCCACCTACACACTCATGTTTCACTAGTGCCAACCATACAAACGCATTTAAATCTTCCTCTGTCCTACAAATCATCAAGGCCACCAAAGTAGAATCCAGCTTCTGGGTGCCCCCTAAGTCCAAATGCAGCATTTATCCACAACATCACTCAATAACTATGTATAAACAAGAAATAATATGTATGACTAAGTCACTAGCTTTCATGTGGTACTCCTCTAATGCTTATTTATGAGGTTATTAAAAATCTGTGGCAGGCTAAGGGTGTTGCTCAGTTGTAGAGTAGTTGCATAGCCCACATGAGGCCCTGGTTTTATCCCCAGCACCAACATAAACAAAATCCAGTAATCACTGTCACTTTTAAAACCTTTCCTTATAGTAAAGCAACAGCCACAACCTAGGAAGCCTAAGGAGAATGTTTTGGGCCTACAATGGCCAAAACAGTAGCCATCAGGCACATGGGGTTATTTGACATTTGGCCAGCAGCAATGAAATGGGCTGCAAGTACTAAGTACACTTTTAGAGAGAAAGAATTTTTTTAATATTTTTTTTTTTTTTCTGTTATCTTCGTTGGCATGTGGTGCTGAGGATCGAATCCGGGCCGCACGCATGCCAGACGAGTGCGCAACCGCTTGAGCCACATCCCCAGCCCCTAAGTACACTTTTAAAAGATCAAGTACAGATGAGACAATGTAAAAGATCTCAAAGTAACTTCTCCACAATGAGTTAAGAATGTGAAATCCCTAGCCAGGCAAATGGTGCATGCCTTTCCAGCAGCTTCAGAGGTTGAGACAGGAGAATCACGAGTTCAAAGCCAACCTCAGCAACTAAGGCACTAAGTGAGATCCTGTCTCTAAATAAAATACAAAGTAGGGCTGGGGATGTGGATGTGGTCTAGTGCCCCTGTGGTCTAGTGTGGTCTAGTGTGGTCTAGTGCCCCTGAGTTCAATCCTCAGTACCAAAAAAAGGAGGAGGAGGAAGGCTACAAATTCAAATACTTTCAGGAAGACCAGACAGATCATGTAAATGAGCCAAAAGTCAGTAACAGAGTGGGAGAAGGACTCTGGCAAACTGGAAAAGCCTAAAATTCTTCCTATAAATTAAAATCAGTCAATCAAACAAAAAAAACTCATAAGATGTGCAGGCCAAACAAAATACTTCTGTGGTAGAGATCAACCAACCAGCTGGGTATAAGCATTTGATCCCAGTCTTCCGGGATCAACTTTCAGCCACTGTATCCTAAGTCTCCCAAACCTTCTACAGCACTAAAGAAAGCACAGTCACAGTTTCAAACCTTCCCCTAATACACCACAACCCCTCCCAACCTCAACTGCTGAAGTTCTCCTGCACTGGCCATCCCACCAATTTTCACTATCCCCTCAGGGAAGCAAGCCTCCCAGTCTCCAACTACTCCCTCCTCTGCAAGACTTATGGCTCCTGCCTTCCAAAATCTTCATTTTGTTTTGTTTTATTTTTTGGTATCAGGGATTGAACTCAGGGGTAGTACTTGACCACTGAGCTACATCGCTAGCCCTGTTCTGTATTTTATTCAAGACAGGGTCTCACTGAGTTGCTTAGAGCCTCACTAAATTGCTGAGGCTGGCTTTGAACTCGTGATCCTCCTGTCTCAGCCTCCCAAGCTGGTGGGATTACAGAAGTGCACCGCCACACCGGCCTTCAGCTAAGATTTTACTTCAGGATGGCACCACATATATCTTCTCCAACTACATCAAAAACCGCTTCTAGGGCTGGGATTGTGGCTCAGTGGTAGAGAGCTCGCCTAGCATTCATGAGGCACTGGGTTCAATCCTCAGCACCACATAAATGTAAAATCAAGATATTATGTCCACCTAAAACTAAAATATATGTTTTTTAAAAAAAGCTTTCTGTAAAAAGAAAAAAACCACTTCTAGGCTGGGAATGTAACTCAGTAGCAGAACGCTGGCCTAGCATGTGCAAGGTCTTGGGTTCAATTCCCAGCACCAAGGGGGAAAAAAAAACTTTTAGTCAGTTGAGAGTGGTACATGCCTATAATCCAGCTACTCAGGAGCTAAACAAAAGGACCCAAGTTCAAGGCCAACTGGGCAACTTAGTGAGACCCTGTCTCAAATTTAAATTTTTAAAAGAGCATTTGTCTAGCATTCACAAGGCCCTACATTCATCCCCAAGTTTTGTCAAAAAAAAAAAAAAAGAAAAAAAAAAGTCCACTTCTAGGCCTAGGCCAGATATTCCATACCTTGTTATATTCTCTCTAATGCTTAGCAGTAATGTGTTCAGAGTAACTACAGTGAATAGTTACAATTTCCAATGGTAAGCACAAGAAAAAAACCTTCTATATACCACAGGTAAGTTACACAACCTCCTCCTTCATTTCCCATTTAGCAGTGACTGACTGACCCAGGCTCTAAAGTCAGACATACTGGGTTCAAATCTTCACTCAAATTATTTAACTTCTTAAAGCCATTGTCAGCTGTAAAACCGTACAGACTTGTTGCAAAAATGAAATGAAAGTACTTAATACATGGCATAACCACTCGAAAAACATTTTAAGGTATTATTTCATACACAAGCCAAAAAACCCTGGTTCCTGTGAACTTTTAAAGAACACTGTAGCCAGGTATGGTGGTACTCATCTACAGTCCCAGTGACTGAGGAGGCTGAGGCAGGAGGACTGCCAAGTTCAAAGCCAGCTTCAGTAATTTAGTGAGACCAGGTTTCAAAATTAAAAAAAAAAAAAAAAAAATAGGGCTGAGGATGTGACTCAGTGGTTAGCATCTCTGGGTTCAATCCCAAGTACAAAAAACAAAACAAAAATAACACTGTTAAACTTACTCCATTCTATCTAAAATAAATATGGTTCAGACAAGAACCATAATAATCACTATTGCCTTTTATCCACTGTCATCACCCCAATAGAGTTGATACCAAACACAATTCCAGATACCCGACTTAACATCAGCTCATGTAATCTATTCAGCTGCAGTAAACATACAAGCGCATTTAAATCTTGACTGTCATCTTTTTCTCTCCAACTGCTTTCTGCACATCCGTGCTGCTAAAGAGAAAAGTCTCCTTTCTCTCCAGGACTTCCGTACTTTACAGCAACAGTGCCCAGATGGTGACTAAGTCAAAACAATCATCCAAAAGCAAAACAAAACATCTAGAAGGATTCATAAGAGAATGTTTAAAAGGCTAAAATTTGTTCTGATCCACAGAAACCTCTGACAAGTACCTTAACAACATTTAACCTGAAGATATTTCCAAATCATATACTGTTACAAACAGAATCTGAAGAGCAGTAGCCCCTGTCATACCAATTTTACGCTTAATTCCAATCTCCAGAAAGTAACTCCCCTTTATCTTTCACTCTCTGAATCCCAGAGAATCCTAAGAGACCCCAGAAATATCCAACAGGATTCTTCTTTAAGAGTTCGTTTCCAACACAGGTTTCTATCATACCAAGAGAGCACAAAAATGCCTGACTCTTTCTCCACCCTCACCCAATCTTGCTCCCCACATTGCAGTCAAAGTGCTCCCTCACCTCAGGAAGACCGCCCTTGCAAGCAGGACAAGCTTCCCCTCACTGCAGCAAGGAAGTCCCAGACTGACTCATACTGTGGACACAGGAGGCACCCACCTGCTGCATCAATTCGGCTGCTTCATCATCGCCATTGCCTACACCAGGATTCTTTCGCACCACCCCTGGGCCAGCCTTAGGAGCCGCAGTAGTTCTCTGTGTTGAAATAGGTCTCTGTGGGGCTGAGAGAGGATTAGACATTTTTAATAGGAAAAAAATTTTTTAATATTTTTTTAGTTTTAGAGGGACACATATGATTTATTTTTTTATGTAGCATTGCGGCTTGAACCACTGCCTCACACTTGCTAGGCAAGCGCTCTGCAATTGAGCTACAGCCTCAGCCCCTAAGAGGAAAATTTTAAAAAACAAATTCACAGGACAACAAAAGACATTCAGTGAAGGGGACCAACGTTAAGGAGCCCCACATGCAGGACCACACCCTACATTTGCCTAAAGTTGTTTTTATTCTGACAGCATAATTAAGTATCAATTTTAGCCACACTCTGTCATGCTTAGAACAAATCCAGTGAAGTCTTTTCTCTGCTGTGTGAACAAGAGAGTCATCTGAAAGAGGCACAGTACTTCTGGTGCATACAGACAATCTACCTTACCCCAGCTCCAACCAAATCTACAAACAGGACAGTTTCGTGGACCAAAGGCAAACTTCACACCAATACATCACAACCCCACCTACAGCTGTATATCCTCTGCTCCCCATCTGCAAAACTAGATCCTCAAACTTCTTGGATTAAGAGAAAGAAGTCTGTAAGAATGGCAGAGCCTATTCTTACCACTATGACTTCAAACCTCTATCTTTGCCCACCTCCTAGAAGATTCTCAGAAGGGTCAAGAGAAATGTTTCTCACTGATGAGAATTTACAGACTTCTCTGAGTATTTATAGCCAAGCATAGACAATGTAATAATACATTAACCTGTCTACAAGCTAAAATAATCAAGAATGAGTTACCTCAATATCTCATTCGTGATTTTACTTATTCATTTAGCAATTATTCTATAACATTACACCAGGCCTAGAAATATCTAATCTTCCTGGTACCCCATAGGCTTTTGCCCATAGTAACGGGCATTTCCTCTGGATGGCTCTCTCTACAATGTTTATCCTGAAAACTAAATGTTTACTGCAAGTCTCCTCTCAATTGTCAGCAACACCTGAAATATGAAATACACAAGGTAACCTAAGCAGGTGCCCATTCTGTACAGCTGAAGAATAAAAGCACGCAGAATCTGAGGAAGTTGGAAACCTCATATACTGCTGATGGTACTGTACATAGTTCAGCCACTTTAGAAAGCAGGCAGCTCTACAAAAGGTTAAGCATAATTACCATATGGCCCAGGAATTCTGCTCCAAGATATATACTCTTGGATATAAACCCAAGAGAAATGAAAACATGTCCACACAAAGAACTATACATGAATCTTGACAGCAGCATTACTCACAATAGCCAAAAAGTAGAAACAACTCAAATGACCATCAGCTGACAAATAAATGAGGTACAATCATATAACAGAATATTATTCTACAATAAAAAAGAATGAAGTACTGATAAATGCTATAGCATGGATGAACCCTGAAAACATGCTAAGTGAAAAAACCAAACATGGGCTGGGGGTATAGCTCAGTTGGTTGAGTGCTTGGCACGCATGCACAAGGCCCTGGGTTCAATCCCCAGCACCA